AATTATATACAATTATTTACAAGTATGTTAAGACTAGTTACTAATCTATAATCAAAAGAAAATAGTAAAAAGAAATTTAAAAAAAAATGAATAAAATCAAAACTATAGATAAGCTAATAGGATAGTTTATAGAGTTAATAAGATAATTGTTAAAAATAAAGAAAAAATAAAAATAAAAAATTTTTAAAAAGAATTTAATTCATTAACATCGTTAATAAGTTTTTGTTTCAATTTTTTTTTGAATAGGTAAAGAGAAGAACAATTTTTCAGCTCGTCACTTAATAAAGCGTTCCATAATTTAGGACCTCTTATAGCAATAGTAAATTTGGTAGCTAAATAATGCATTTTAGGTTGCTCATAATTGTACTTAGAAAATCTTGTAGGGTACATGTGATTAATTTTATTGAAAAGAGTACTAAATATTATAGGTGATATTTTATTATGAAGTTTGTACATAAAAATAAGAACTTGATAAAGGTTTAACTGAAAAACATTGAGTATGTGAAGATTATTAAATAGTTCTTTAGTATGTGTGAATCGACCTGCATTTGAAATAATTCTGACAGCATGTTTTTGTTTAATAAGCAGTTTTTTAATTTTACTTATATTAGAGCTGCACCAGGCAACGTTTGCATAGTTTATATAACAATGTATGAGGGAGAAATATAAAATTTTTAGGCAGTTTTGGTTTAAAAACTGCTTGGCTTTGAATAGTATACCAATATTTTTTGAAACTTTATTTTCTATTGTACTTATGTGTTCTCTCCATGTTAAGTTTTCATCAAGTATCACTCCTAGAAATTTTATTGATGACTCTCTAATTATTTTAGAGTTGCCAATAAAAAGATTAGGAAGTTTTAGTGGAATGTTTTCTTTATCGCGAACTCTATAAAAAAAAGTATACTTAGTTTTATTTAAATTTAAGGACTATTTGTTCGCCTTGAACCATTCCGCTAGATTTAAAAGTTCTTTGTTTACTATTTTAAATAAAAGTTTAATATCTCCATTAGAGTAAAATAAATTCGTGTCATCTGCAAATAAAACAGAGTTTAAAATGTTTGAAAACTTATGAAAATCGTTTACATAAATAAGAAATAAAAGAGGACCCAGAATTGAACCTTGGGGAACACCGCAATTTATTGTCATATAGGAAGATTTTCCTTCTTCGTATAATATGTACTGTTTTCTATTGTTTAGATAACTTATGAACCTATCTAAATATGTGCTTTTAATACCATAGCTTTCGAGTTTTTTTATAAGAATATTATGGTCTGCTGTATTAAAAGCTTTGCTAAGATCTATAAAAACTCCAAGAGTAAACTTTTTCTTGTCAAACGCTTTAAATATATCATGAACAATATTAATAATGGCATGGTCAGTTGAATTACCTGGCTGAAATCCGAATTGTTTATTATATAAAATATTATTTGTATTTAAATTTTTTTTGTATTTAATTCAAAATCCGATTATACATAATTCGCTCTAAGATTTTTGAGAAGCAAGGGAGAATTGAAATTGGTCTGTAATTTTCACAATTAGAAATATCTCCTGATTTAAAAATAGGTATAACCCTTGCAATTTTAAGTTTCTCAGGATAGACACCTTGTTTTAAAGAAAATTAAAAATATGTAAGAGAGGGACTGTCAAGTATTTTATTGATTTTTTTATTACATTACTACTAATATTATCAACTCCTACACTTTTGTTTTGTTTTAAAAGATTTACTGCATCTATAAGTTCATTTTCAGTAATTTCATAAATATCCATTTTAGAGGTCTTATTAGGAGTAAGATATGTCTCAAAGTTTACTTCAGTGGTTTCTATTTTTGACGCTAGAGTGGAGCCTACACTTACAAACTATTGATTAAGTGTTTCGGCAATTAAAGATTTATTTGTAATAACTTTATTATCAATTGTTAGATTTATAGGAAGAATATTTCTGTCAGTTTGTTTCGTACCAATTACTTCCTTAATAATGTTCCAAGTATTGTGCCGATCATATTTATGTTTAATTAATTGCTCGGTATAGTACAACTTCTTGGACTTTTTAATAACCATCTCAAAAATACGTTTATAATTTTTGTAATTGGTTTCATTATTGAAAGTTTTTTTTTTGAGAAATTTATTATATAGTCGTTGCTTTTTTTTTGACGACTTGATAATTCCCGGAGTTATCCATGGATTTGATAATGTCTTTTTTTTTCACACATTTTGTAATTAATGGAAACGCTGTATTATAAAGTTGTTGTAATTTATCTAGAAACTTATTGTATGCCTTATTTGTGTGTACAATATCAAGGAGGTCATCCCAGTTTAAATCTGCTAGAAGACTATTAAAATTTTCAATGGATTTTTCATCTATTTGTCGTGTAATTTTTTCAATTTTTTTTGCATAGATATTATCGCATTTTTGTGAGATAAGAAATATAGGGAAGTGGTCTGAAATGTCGCATTTGAATATACCCGTTTTTAGTTTTGATTTAAATTCGTTGGTTATTATTTGGTCTATAACAGTTGCGCTTCCTCTAGTTATTCTTGTGGGTTTATTAATTAGTGGAATATAGCCTTTCTGATAAATGACGTTATAGAAATTATTTATTTTTGTATTTGAATGACCCATGTTCATGTTCAGGTTAAAATCACCTACAAAATAAACGCTTCTATTTTTGCTTAACTTATTTTTAATTATGTTTTTAATACAATTTTCGAATTGTTTTATTGAATCGGAAGGTGGTCTGTATAAAACGTGGATGATAATGTTTTTTGTGGTTTTATTTATTATTTCCACGCACAGTGATTCACAATCATTAGTGGTTGAACACAAATCTTTTCTTAGTTTGTATACTAAAGTATTGCTTATAAATACACACAAACCCCCTCCTTTCTTCCCAGATTCTCTAAATTGATGAATCACTTTAAAATTTGGCAGCTGAAAATTTGTATTTGACATAATATATTCATCAGTACACCAACTTTCGCTTAGACTAATAATTTTAAAATTGAATTTAATCTCGCATAAAAATTGTTTAAATGATTCAAAATTTTTTGAAATGCTCCTAATGTTTAAATGCAAAATTGAAAATGAATTTACATCTATTCCTTGCATTATGTTTGCAGATTTAGGGTTATAATATAAAGTATTAATATTTTGAAAAGCTTTATTATTACTATAAAAATTAATATCCGGGTCAGAAGTTTTATCTAAAAGTATCCTATTTTTATTTTGTAATGAATTAAATTCTAAGTTAATTGAATCATTATTATCATTCATAAAAAGGGCGTTTTTTGTTTTTTTTAAAACTGTTAAAAAGAATAAAAAATAGAAAAAAAAAAATAAAAAAAATAATAATAAATAAAGTAATTAAGCACTCGCTTGCTTTTTCCTAAATTCTCTAACTATAAGTTTATCATATTTTATAATAGAATATTTACCATTTTCTCTATGCATCTTCATTTCTTCTGAGAGTTTTTTTCTTATGATTGTTGTTTCAAAAGAGAAGTCTTCGTTAATGTATAGTCCTGTTCCTTTAAGCCGATTTGATGAATTTAAAACTTTTATTTTGTCTTTGTAATGTAGTATTTTAACTACAATTGTTCGAGTTTTACTTTCTTCTTTTTTTCCAATTCTATGAGCCCTCTCGATATCAATGTTTTTAATGTTTAACACGTTTTCAAATAGGGTTTGTAACTTTTTTTCGGTTTCATCCCAGGTTTCTTGATCGTTTTCAGGAAGCCCGTCGATGCGAAGATTATTTCTTCTGAGTCTATCTTCTAGCTGTCGTAATTTATTTTTTTCCACTTCACCTACACTGTTTTTGTTTTTAATTTTCTTTTCTAAATCACATACTTTTTTATCTTGGATATCCTGAGTAACTGTCAGACTTTCTTCGATATCTTTATTTGTCTTTTCGAGTATTCTTACTCTTTCGGTAATTTCTTTAAGTTTAGTGTTAATCTTTTCGTTTTCTTTTTTTAATGAGTCGCAAATTTGTTTTGATTAATGTATTTCATCAAGTAACTCATTGATTTTATCATTATTTATTTTTAAATTACCACTAATAAGCTTCAAAATATCTTTCTGCTGCTTTGAAAACATTTCATAAAAAATATCGCGAACAACATTTGTTGATATTTGCGTTTCATCTATTTTCCCCGTTTCGTTAGATTTCTTTCGATCCATGATATTTTTTTTCTCCGTTGAATAAATTCAATAAAAAATAAATTTAAAAAGAAAAAAATATATATATGATGATAAATTTCTTCTTATATAACACGTCTGCTCGCCGTAAAAACTTTGTTGCAAAAAAAAGGGCCCCAATCCAAAATAAAAGGTTTTTAAAAATAAAATTTTTAAATGACATGGTAATGGACCTCGTGCTTTAAAACTGCCTTGAGTATTAAGTAAAATAATAAATAAAATATTTGCAGTCTTTTGGAATCATTTTTCATTAGAGTGAAGGCTTTTCTTTTGTAAGAGTTTTTTGTATGATATAAATGCAACAGTCAAAAAAGTTTTTACGCATAATACATAAGTATTCTTTCTAATAAAAGCAGAAAAACCAGTTTAATCTTTATTGATGTTCGTCGTTCATCTTGTCATAAAAATATTGAATCTTACACAAAATATTCATTTTCATAAAAAACAATCATATCAACTATGGACAAAAAACTATTATTTCTGAAGTTCTTTTCCAATATGATTTAAAGCTTTTTAATGAAAACTCATAATAACTGTTCTAAACATCGAACTAATTTTAATGAACTAAAATAGTTCATGTTTATTTATACATTTAATGGAGCTTTCCCCAGCTGCACCTTTCAGTATAAAACTCCTTCTAACTCATTTGAATTAAACACACTACCTCTTCAAAACCATTTTTAATTCATCTACTCAAAGTTCTAGAGGAGCACTAATGCCAAGAAAACTAGTCATTTAGCATTTTCTTTTTTTTTCATTTTATTTTTTTTTCATTTTTTTTTTTAATTTTTTTGTATTGTAGTGACAAAAGCTTCTGAACCAATATACGCAAAAGACAGAAGATATAGAAAAGCAAAAATAAATATCAAGCCCAAGAAACAAAAAGGTTTACTTGATATACTATAATCTATTTTCATGTCTTCAAAGATAATAGTTAAGGTAGATAATAGTTAAGGTAGATGTGAAAGTCTTGTTGCAAAATTCAAAAAACCAAAAATAAATATCAAGCCAAGAAACAAAAAGGTTTACTTGATATACTATAATCTATTTTCATGTAATGAAAATAATAATTTCAAGTAATGTAAGGTAGATAATTGTTAAGGTAGATATTAGTTAAGGTAGATAATAATTAAGGTAGATAACAGTTAAGGTAGATAATAGTTAAGGTAGATAACAGTTAAGGTAGATAATAGTAAAGGTAGATAGATCAACTTTTAAAACTAAACAATAAATATTTTTTTTAATTAATCTCTCCAAGTCCATAAAAAAAATGCATTGATGTCAATTTTATTATTTATAAATCAATTTGAAAATAAAGTTAATGCAAATCAAATCAAATATTGATAAAACGTCATATTTTCAAAATCCACTTAATTTACTTTAACTCATTTTTAATTAAAAGCGTCAAAAGTTTTAATTAAACACGTTAAAAATTATAGAGTATGGTTATGCTGGCTGAGCAATTTTTACAAAATCTATCAGATCCATTGAAAGCTGCGTCACATTAATTTATTTACATGATAGTAACTTAATCTGCTTAAATTAGTTGAAAATGAAGTTAAAGAATTTATATGAAAGGAACAAATATAAAATGTCTTATATAAGCTGTCCAACCTCCAGTACTGTGGTACGTTGAGCAGTTGTGTGTGCGCAGTAACAAATACATCTGCCTAACATGGAATCTGATTAAATCTTTAATTAAACTACCGTTAACTTATAATTGATAAACTTTTGTATACTATAATTTCTATATTTTTATATGGTAAATAAAATTATGGTAAATAAAAATAAGAATTAAAAGATAAAATAAATTATACTATTATAACATATATTATGATTTTATGCAATTATCCCTAGTAACTAATAAAAAAAAAATATTTATATATAATGGACCTTATTTATTTAAAAAAATTCTTTCTTTGTTTACAATTGTGCAGTTTTGTATATTTTTTCAAACAAGATCAACTACCCTGAAATATAAGTTAGTTTCTGAAGAACAAATGAAAAAAGTTAATTATTATTAAAAATCAATAAACGGGTAAAACATTAACGTTTGAGTGATGTATAAACATCTAAAAAAAAATTAATCACTTTTTCACGTCCAATAACAGTTTGTAGTGTTTTGAATTACCATTTTCATCCTTAGTTTTAATCTACTAGATGTCATTAAATAGTTTTCCTTAACTTTCACCTAATGTATGATGTATTTAATTTTTTTGGGACTGCTCACCATAGGGTATCCCATTTCTAAAATTTTTTTTAATTTTTAGTTAAACTTTTTATGTGAGGTGCATAATGAATAAAAAATAATTATTGTAAAATTTTGCGACAATCAAACATTATTTAGGGTTAATTTAGGGTTGTTTACAGTTACCTGAATTGATTAAATTGTAATTTTCACAACATTTTTCAACATTTTTCAAGATTTCACTATAACTTTTAGTATGTTACTTTGTACCTGTAATAAAGTATTACAGGTAAAAAAACTGAGCTGAAAGAAAAATATTTAGAGGTAGCACATGAAAACAATATGTTACTAATTTACAAAATTGCCTGAAACAATGGTAAAAAGAATTAAATGTTATTTAAGTTCTCTTTTTTTCCGATGAAAGACACATTAAAAATTGTTTGCGATGATTCTCAACAATATGAAGTACATATTGTAACTGCTTTGGATCTTTGACTTTGTTTTTAATGTCTTGAATCAGCTTGACTCCTCATTCAGCGCAGTCATTAACCACTTCTAAAAGCTCGACTACTTTTTTTAATGTAGTTATAGTCCTTCATCTTTGTCCAATGTTCAACAGATAGTTGCAACCAGTCCACTTGATTATGTTTCATTTTGAGTAAATCAAACAGTAGCCAGGAATTTGGCCCAATCAGTAGCACACAATCAGGAATTTTATTTAATTCAATTTGTGAAATATTGGTTTTCCAATCATAATTTGTTTGTTTCTTTTGTTAAACAATTTCAAAGCTGCGGCAGAACGTTCAATTGCAGGAAAACATTCATCAAATAAAATGAAGACAACTAACTGTTGAGTTAAATAACAAATATGCCTGTAACAATACTGAAGGTCAAATCCGCCATTCTCTTAAGCTTAAATTGTTGGTCCTGGTTGAGCCAGTTAATTTGTTTATCCAATATTAGGCATTTAAAGATTTATAATTCATTGTGCAAGAATCTTGCAATATGATAAGTACCGGGTTTCTTGAACCGAAAAGTCTCTTCATCTTATACTTCTCCACCAAGGTAAACAATTACCAGTTCCCGATAATTGTTTTTTTGAAATTTTTTTTTATTGTAGACAATTGGTAGGTCATTTCAAAACAAGTTTTGCCTGACGATGATTGGGTTATCTCCGTCTGGAGGAAATACAAACTAAATAATATCTTTTGTGTGTGGTAGGGGGAGGGGAAATTGAGTCCCATTTATCCTGAAGCATTCTAAGTAGTGGCTCGTTTGGCTCACTATGGTTCCCAATAACTGCTTTCCAGATGTTTTTAATGTGTAACTCATAAATGTGGTGCCGACAAGCAATTCATAAAATTGCACGACCAACATCCTTCTCAATTAAAGCCGCACATCCTGCTTTCCAGCCGGTGTTACTAGTTGTATTGTCTAAATAAAAAGCAATCAAATCATCAAGTAGCTTCTATGATTTAAAATGGTTGATAAACTGATCTTTTTGGGCTACACCAGTAGCATTTGGGATTGTAGGAATCCCAAGAAGTTTGGGATTTGAATTTTTCAAGCCTAACCATTCCATTAACTTGCAAGGATGGCAACGTGTTCTTCTTTCTTTCCTGTAAAAAAGTAAAAATAAATGTTAAGATTATTAATCTACGTAATAAAACAATGACTGAATAGTTTTGCCGTTAAGCGATGAAACAAGTTTGTTCTCTCAGTGACCGCATGGATGTAGTGGACTTCATCCATGCAATCATAATTATATTTTAATTAATGAAATTGACTTTCTCGTTTTTCTTTTGTTGGCGATGAACATTAAATTTTGAAATAACAAACTGTTCAAGGGGAGCGCCAACAACTTTAACTTTTACTTCAATAACCAATGTGCCTCTAACGCTAAGATGTAGACAATCGGAAACTCTAGTAAACGATTTAGTTAGGGTCTTTGAATCCAACTGAGAAATAAGGGCTTGAGATCTTTTTTTTTATGGTGAAGTTGGGTAAAAATCGTCATCTTCTAAGCTTTATGGTGAAGTTGGGTAAAGTTTGTCATCTTCTAAGCTTTATGGTGAAGTTGGGTAAAGTTCGTCATCTTCTAAGCTTTATGGTGAAGTTGGGTAAAGTTCGTCATCTTTTAAGCTTTATGGTGAAGTTGGGTAAAGTTCGTCATCTTCTAAGCTTTATGGTGAAGTTGGGTAAAGTTCGTCATCTTCTAAGCTTTATGGTGAAGTTGGGTAAAGTTCGTCATCTTCTAAGCTTTTTGTGTTTTTATCATCCTTGCTAAGAATTTTTTAACTTCTTCTTTTGCAATAATATCTCTTCATCTTTTAGATAAATTATCATGCGCTGCTTTCTGCTGTTCCAGACGTTCACTACGATAATGTACTTTTTTTTCTCTTTGGTGTAAAATAGTATCTCGACCAAGCATGTGACCAACCTAAAAAAAAACATCAAAAATTGTACATATTCTACACCTCAAACAAAATAGAATTGCTAAATAAGTAATTTTGTTTACGTGTGGATATTTCAGCCGATTGTGTAAGAACAACCACTTTTCTTTCCAAGTTGAAATTCGAGATCCCCGTAATATTTCGTAGACTTTAGATGCTGAAAAATCACACAGCTAATTTATTGATGTCCTATACTTTTCATGTGCCTTCTTTGCGCATCTTTTTCTATTTTCTTTATACTTTTCCATTCAACAAACACTTTTAAGAAGTAGTTGTGAAATTTGCTATTTCGCTTGACTAGAATTCTTCTTCTTTTCCAAATCTCTTTAACCTCAATTAAAATTGGGTTAAAATTATCACGGGTTGAAGACAATCTTTTTCTACTACATTGTTAACTTCTTGGAGGTGCAAATATCTTCTTAAAAGACCAATATTAAGTCAAAGTTTAAAACCAACAGCTAATAAACTTTTGACAATAAATTCATCTTGATGATCTTTTGTTGTGTATAAAGTTTTTTCCACACTGTGACTCTTTCATTTTTTAACTAGTTCACTTGAAAATGTAAAACACTTGAAAATGTAAAACACTTGAAAATGTAAAACTGAAGTAGTAATATTTTATTTTACTACTGCTAATTATTTTACTACTGCTAAATATTGAACTCCAGTAAAAATTAGCAGTTAATAACATTATTTGCCATAATAGAGTACATATAGAGTAATAAGTTAATACACTGCGACCATTTTTTATAGACGCATGTAGAGTTTAGCGGATTTACAGTGTTACAGTGGTATTAAAATTGTTCTAACGGTACTTTTAAATAAGTATACGTAAGAAAACGATGATCCATTATGCATCTGATTATTAATTGTCTTGATTGTATTAAAATAATTAAATTTTTAATATTCACGTGGCGATTTTCTATAGACGCACTAAAGTTTTTACGAATTTTTTCGCAAATATCTTATATTCTGTGGTATTTTTTATTTTGTGAGTCGAAATTAAGTTGAACTAAACCAAATGCCGAAAGGAAAGGTCCTTACCGATATTAAAAAAGGTCAAATATTGGCTTTTCATCGAGAAAAAGTTCCAAATCGAGAAATTGCTAGAAGATTGAAGAGATCAGATCACGTTATCCGTAATTTCTTGAAAAATCCAGCAGATTATGCAACAATCAAGAGGAAACCAAAAAAATCTAAGGTTTCAAGTTGTGAAAAACGCAGAATTGTTCAACTCGCATCAAA